ATTGAGAAATCGTTTGAAATCCAAGCCTTGGGCTTGATTTTTAGCACTTGAAATATGAATTTATTATCACATGCATGAAGTTTAAAATAGGTATTTGATGATTACGAAAGATTTTTATGCTTTATTTTTAAACTAAAGTAGTAGAAACTTCTATACACACTTGGATGSTAGTAAAAATCTCCAAAGGTTCTTTCCTTGATCTTAACTTGGGTTTGATCATGGATTATCACCATCTTAGAACATGCAACATGTTTTTGGGTGATAATCTACAAAYAYKAAGATCSTAGAAATAGTTCTTAGCAWGAACAAGTTTTAAAAATCAAARAGGAAGGAGAAAACACAAAATACGTAAAAATGAAAGCCACAACTATGTGAGATGAGTTTTAAAACTCTAAGGAGATGGATGCTTACCTTCAAAAACACCTTATATCCCTTGAAAATGGGATTTAATGGCTGGACATTTGAGAGAGTTTTTGAGAGAAAAAAAAATGGAGAGAAAAATGGATATAATTCTTGAGAGATGTTAGAGAGAGACGTGTAAGATTATGAGTATTTTAGGAATTTAAGAGGTATTTATATGGAGAGGGGAGGGGGGGCTGGCCTTTAGGTGGGCCTATGGGCCCTCTCTCTCATTTTTTTTGTAAAAATTTAGCCCAATATTTAATAAGTTGGGTACTTTTGTGAGAAATTGAGAAAAATGCTCAAATTCCTATTTTATGAGATAAATAAGTTCCTTAAATATAATTTTAAGTAAAAATATTTAAAATATGAAGACTCTAAATTTTATGCAAGTTTTAAAAATTATTTGGAGTTCTTGGCATTATATAAGACGATTCGGTTCATTACGGGTCACAACAGTGTTTTCTACACAACCTCCCGGGATTTCTAACTACTTAAGCTCTAAACGCTCTACTCGATTGATAATAATATTTCTAAAGTGCTATCTAGCTACTAACTTGGTATTTAAATTTTTGGATGTCACAAAAACTCTTAAAAATCATTTTTTATGCGTAAAATACTGTTTATTAATGCATATTACTTAAAACTCAATATTGCAAGTAGATTGTGCGTAAGTACGACTTATTAAAGCTCCATATCTGAATTTGTGTAACTAACTGCAGATAAACATAATCAAATACAGGATAAACATATCATTTTAAATATAAAAAAT